GTGGTGAAGGAAGGAGGGTTGCAACTGTCTCTTATACACATTATAAATAAGCCTGGGTTACACAATAACGTTGTAGTATTCAAGGCTAACATTATTAACTGCTGTCAACAATTAATTTTTAATTTATTATTAATTTCTACTATATAATGAACAAGTAAATTGATCTGCAGTTTTCTTTCTAATTAAAGACCACTTGTATTTATTTTAATGACTTAAGTTACGGACTGTTTCTAGTATTTGTTTGTAACTATTGCGATAGCAAGTAATAAATAATAGGTAGATTGATCTGGGTAGTAGCATCCAGGGGTGGCGCGATCTGGTGGCCGGTGTTTACCTTGATCGGGGAGACTTTTCCCAGCCTCCAACAGTCAGGGAGAAAACTACAATTTGTATTAATTTTTCACTTTTGTTAGAAATAAAAATCTAATAAGCATTTCAAATTCCTAAGCTGTAGTTTCCAGTAGCTTCACACTGGACGCCCTTCGATTCTGAGCGACGCCTTAAAACTGCCTCATCTCCACGCGGGGGCGACGCCAGGAATTTCCCGAAGAGGGGTCCAGCTCCCCAGCAAGGGTCCCACTTTTGATCATGGTATTCTTTTGTAATTTGATAGAAAACCATACAAGTTAAAAGGCCCTGCCTGTCGAAGAAGATCTGGCGCTACTACCGCAACCCATACGATTGCGATAGTATATCACCTGTCTCCATGTCGGGGACATTTTGGCTTCTCCCTCTGGCAAATCCTTTCGCCACCACTGGTCGTTTGTGAAGCACATACGATTGAGTAATGTTTAACACGGTTGTAGGCTACTTACACACTCTAAAGAGCAAGTCCCATGATTCTGTGTGTGTTTTGTACGTTTTAGTTCGAAGCATTTTTTGGAGGTTGTAATTTTTGAACATCAGGTTAGCCGTCGTCTCTAAGACATTCTGAAAAGCGTAAACAAATTCGTCGATTTCTGGATGAATCTTTGGAGAATTCTTGTCCAAGATTCCGAGACGTTTGTCAAAGAAAACCGTGCAGGCAGCTGAAATGAACATTGCAAAAAAAATGTAGAATATATTTAAGTGCATTTTACGGCAAAGCTTTTACTAGACACTTTATAATTATCCTTCAGCAAAGGCTTTGTTCTAAAATTTTAGAAGTCCGGGTGTTGCAGACATGCATTAGTAAACGGTAATTTATCTATTCTGGTAATTCTCACATTTTATCGAAAGCTTAAATCTACGTTCATTTAAAGGTATACTCTCTCATCGGCGTATTCAGAAGTTTTGAAATGTACGGGGGTGGAGCTGACGAGGCTTGAAGATGTAGGGAGAACGCTCGATGACTAAGTGAGGGGCAGCTAGGTTGCAAAATAATGTTATATCAAGTGATATTTACATAATAAATCTGAATTAACTTTATATCTATTTACTAAACCTATTTTCAAAAAAAAAAGAAAAATAAAGTATTTCTCTAATGATGGTTCACTTAAAGTACTGTTTCCAATTCGTTATACCTGTTAAAGAATTTACACCAACTGTGCACCCTTAGCACATATGAATTTTTGGTTTTTTTGTATTTTTTTTCTTTTGTGGTGAAGGAAGGAGGGTTGCAAACGTGCTCGCGACCCAATGCAAATGTTTTGCAACAAACTTTTTGGTCGAGACCCATAGATGAGAAGCGTGACTTTAGCTGATCGGGAAATGTTTAGTATTCAAATTTTTAACTGCAATTTAGTTTTTTTCTTCTTTTTTTTGTCTTTATGCTCGTGCATCTTCTATAATACATACATTCGAAAGCCCATCTGAAGAGCTCCTCTTCGAAATTCGGCATGATGTTTTTGTTCGGACCTTCCTTTGGCCGAAGAGTTTTCAGCCTCTCCAATACGTCTGCTGCTACACCATTCATCGCATCTAAAAACCTTCCGATTTCTGGTGGGCGCAACAAGCGTCTACTCATAGCGGATCGACTTTTGTGCCACTTTTTACCTTCCCTAAAAATAATTTTAAAAGAATTTTTTATAACCTCGGGAAACACATGGCATTAATTGAATGTTTAAAATGTATTGGGAAAACTGAGAAGGACATGTGCCCATATGCAACCATCCATTGGATTTATCCCCAGTATTTGTTTGCACTTTGTGCCATTTTCACGGATTATTGTAAACTTACTCTAGTAATATCCCCAATGGTTTTTTATTCTGTTTCCTATAATCTAACCAAGGTTCTATAGGAAATCTCATTGGATATTTATCTTCCGTCCTGCAAAACCTTTCTATAAGTTGCGGGTCACTTAGGCTCACAACATCAAATCCGAATGCATTGGTTCTGTGTATCTTGCCATATTTCTTAGCGTTTTCAACAATCACTTCGTGGTTTTTCTTAATATCTTGAAACATAACTGCTATCGACTGTGTGATCTTGTTGACTGGCGTAGGCAACCATGGTATGATTCCGGGCCCGGGTAGAGTGTCAATAGACTTGAGCCTATCCACATAATTAGTAGTCTGAGCAGACTGAGCGCCAGTAACACTAGATGCGCATCTTGAGCTCGATACCATCGGTACAAATTTCCAAAACGGCGATGGAAAACTACTAAGTCTGCATAACGATGCCATCTTTCAGAATATTGTTACCGTATTAGTTTAATAATAAATTCGTGCGATGACCTCTTAATCTATGACAAACGTTCACATGATGTAAATGTTATCATCTATCATCTATTAGGTCGGTTCATAGTTGTATTTGAACAGTGAGCTGTTGGCATGGATGTGCAATGATCCCTTTATATGCCTATTGACATATAAGAGGCTTTCGGGTGAGACTAGGAAAATATACATAGTGTATTGTAATAATAATTGTTCACTCTCACTTAGGAAAGATTCGACCATACAACTGAGCAAATGTAAGAAGTAACGATAAAATTCATGAAATGAGATATTGCTAAAATAAGAATACTGTATTTCAAATGTAATAATGATAGCCTAATAATATAATTCTAAAGTATAAAATCTGAAAAAAAACCCACTCGTGCTGTAGGGTTCGTCCAAACAACAGAGAAAATTTATGATAGAGAATAGTACATTAATAATGAAATAAAAATCTTCCAAATGCAATAAAAATAATATTTTACTCAAGTTTAAAATCTGAACTAAAAAAAAATGATAATAGAAATAACTAAGTAATAGAAAGATAAATAAAAACATACACATAACCTAAGGTATTATGCAAATGATGAGTTTCTATCAAGTCTGGACCCTTGCGTCGTCTCACGCTTTAATTAAGTAACGGACATTTAGTTTACTGCGTAATGTTGTTTTAAAATCAAGTAATAAAACAACAAAAGAAGCTAAAACATTAAGATTTATAAGGTATAATACATTGCAAATCCCAATTAAATGCAGATGTGCATTTTGGGTTACCAACCATGATTAAACTTTCGTATGAATATGGTAGTTTTAAAATAGAAAATTACTACATACGTGTGCAGCGGCGGACGTATGCAACAAGGTAACAATCTGGATTCTAGTTATAGCGCTCAGTTGAAAAAAAATAATTTACCGATCTTTTCAGTTTTGTTTTTGGAAGTAAAGTGCAAAATAAGCAGAGACCATGAAATTGTAAATATAATTTACTTCTGACGTGTTTTGAAAAAAAAAAAAAAAAGAAAAAAACAATTTGAAGAGCATTTGAAGAAAAGGATTAAGTGAAAAGGAATGCTTTCTTCTGCAAAGCATGCTGCTTTTGCTTCTCCTAAACACTGCAATTTACAGCGAATATAAACAGGTGGTCCGCATTTAACACCCATGGTCACTCATTATTATTCTAGTGCAAAATTACATGATGTTGGATGCTAATGTTAACATGATGGTTTCATACTTCTTTTGTTGTGACGTCTAAAGTAATGCATCTGTAAATGTCTTGATCTACATAGTACAGGCATATTGCACTTATGTACATACTTTTGTCGAAACTGTATACATTTATGGCACTTTGGTCTTTCAGAAAGATATTGCAACAATTGAATCTATTCAGAAAAGGGCAGTTAAGATGATCCTAAGGATCCCTTTACCGTCATAGTATGTACAAAGACTCTTATCCAGTGGATCACCCTGTCATATCTAAAGGTTGGAGGGGTCCTTGGGAAAAAACAAGGAAAACGAAAATACCAATTATATGTTTACTAACATACATACATCGGCCAATTATGCTACCTCATCTTATATTTATCCAAATAGGTTCGTACAACATTAGGCAAACAACAAATGAATTCTTCAATCAAGATTATTTCATTAAGAGCATAATAGTTAGATTTAGTGTTCTCTGAACTCCACCACCTGTCAAACAAGATTTGCTTTTCACGTAAGAATTCCACTTTCCTTATCCAACTTCTTATACTCTTGAAACTTGTCTACACGCTTCGGTTTCAAGCTAGTAACTTTTCAGTAACATAGCTTTAACCTTCTTGTAATCGGCACTATCATTAACAGAATGCTAGATATTTCCTAAGCTTTGTAACAATATTGACCAGTGTTGAGTTAGCCACTTTAGGTTTTCTGCTACCTTTTTCAACTGTTGGAAATACATATCGAACGGAGGAACCAAATGAAAAACTAGACTGGAGTGAAACTGACTTGGTGTGACGGTATTTGATATGTCTCGGTCTCTGCAACTCCAACTCCTTCATTTTGTACTGCAGCATTTAATTTATCATTTTATTTAGTTTTCCTCTTCTTGCTCCAGCCTCATTTTCTTATTTCTGCAGATGCACCAGGGAGTACCTTATGTATGTATGTCATGAATATATCTGGAAGCACACTTTCATCCACCAAACGCTCAACTACTAGTCTTTTAATCTCGATCGGCTTTCCTCATAGCTGACCGTACTTCCAAATAATAATAATATGCTACTTGAAAAAATGTTTACTCGTAGTAAACTTATTCAAGAAATCCTTAGACGTTCCTTCTCCAATAGTTTTAAAGTCTCTTGCAAATCAATTATGTAAGCCAATATAGCAGTCTGAAGCACGAAGCACTGTATCCTGTAACTTGAGGCCTGACGAGCCTCCACTTAGCCTATGTTAGATTCACGAGTCGGCACGAAAAAAAAACACAATCTGGAGCCTTCAATACTTTAGTTTTAGTTTTTATTTGGAATCACTTTTATTACAGTAGCACACATCCAAATTAATGGTGCATCAAAAAGACCAAAATCAACAGAATATTTGAAAGAACAAAACAACTTAACTACGAAAATCAATACAGGAGTAAAGGTTCGGTAGATGACAACGTTCTATCAAAAAAAATCATTAAAAATAATAATAAAAATTAAAACTGTATTGTAATAACAAAAATAATCAATTTAAAATATCGGTAGTACTTAGGTAATGTTCTATTTGCAAACAAAAATTGGTTTATTTCCAATAAAGATGGACAACACGTAAACTTCACCATACCATTTACTGGTCAACTATTTACACATCGGCTATAACAGAATACATCCACATAGTACATGAGTAACAACCATTAAAGCTCAGGGCTACTTGCACAAACAATTGGACATCACGTTCATTCACTAGCTCACCAATTCGTTGCTGCTCTACCCTATACAGCTCCCTCATTGACATACTAGCTGCTCCTGTTCACTGCTAATGTTGACATCATCACTCATTTATATATAGGCCTAGCAAGATTAGAGGTAATAATAAGGTAGGCGAGGTTATGAGAGCATAACAAGAAAATTATACTGAAGTCTCAATACGCTTAAAAAGATAGGTAATAAAAATTATGGTTTAAAATAGATGTACTGTTACTGCATGCTGATTATTTATTCTTAATTAAGGATTTCTTTGAAATCCAGACATCAATTCCTGTAGACCTATTTGTTTTAAGCAATTTTTCATTAAAATATTACTAACACCAACACATTATCGTTGCTTAATATTCGCAAAACACCATTTATAAAATAAGGTGTATTCGCTAATATTTGTTGTATGTTTTAAGCCCTATAACAGAAGTTATCATAGAAAAAAAAGCATTAACATCACTATTTTCGTTACAGTGTTCACTGGAGGGAAGATTTTCATCTGTGTCCAAAAAACACCATGGTCTTACGTCTCTAAATAAGTGTTTAATTGGAGGGAACAGCTGATGTTCAAAGATAGGAATTCAAACAAGACCACAAAAAAGTGGTCTTTAATTAGAGGTGGTCTTTAATTGGAGAGGTTTTTTAATTGGAAAGAGACCTGTATACTAAAGTTAAAACTATTTACTGATGAGCTTTCTGTTTATATTCTTACTAAAGTATCTTGAGTTTTTGACAAGCTGTGGTTATTTTTGTTTGCCTACATAAAAAAAGACCAGACTCTTAAACCTGATTAATTTCTCTCAATTAGACGGAGATCCAAGGGCTGCTCGGGTACCACAATAAAGCGTGATGTAGGTTTAACTTCCTTGTTGATTTCAAGTCGAAAGTTTCTAATAATCTGGGAAAAAATGGCATAATATATTATTATCATAGGGATGTTCTTAGCTTTACAAAAACGGTAACCAATATACATGATCCCATCCTACACAATTCTGTTTCACATGTGACAAAAATATCGATTGCGAGCGCAATGTGCAGACGATACTACTATGATAGAAAAATGAACATAACATTGTCATCAATTAAATGTGATATTGAGAAAGAATCATAATCAATAATAATGATAATAATAGCGATGAAGATGATGATGATGATGATAATGATAATGATGATAATGATAATAATAATAATAATAATAATAATAATAATAATAATAATATTATTATTATTATCATATTTTAGTACTTATTATCACAGTTAGCATCAACTTCGTCGTAGTTGTTGGTGTTGGATTTAATTGTTACTGCTTATAAAGATGAAGATGGTGATGAAATACATGATGATGATGATGATGAGGCCACTTTACTACCAATGATTATGATAATATTGAAAACAATGGCATAACAATGTCAAAAATACATTACCAATGACAGTAATGTATGCATCTCTTATTTATCATACCCACCCCACCCCCTCCATATAGAAAACAATACGACAGGACTTATCTTATATATAATATAGGCCACACATGTATGTTTGAAACTAAACATAAGCATTTTCATCATGGTTTTATTTATTACAAACATATTCTTTCACTATCAATACACATTGAGGCCCTCCTTTTAGGTAAAACGATCTATCTTAAATGTTCTTTCCTGAGTTTGGAACTATTAGGCCTAAAATAATTTAGAAGGCTAACTCTTAAAAAAAAAAACCTAAAAAAAACACTTTTTAAAGTGGAGCAGGGGTTGCAGGATGTTGTGAGTTTGGTCATAATGATATCTTCCTTTTTATTCTTGTCTGTATTTACTTTCCTTTTCTTTTCCCCTTCTTTCTCTTTCCCTCCTCTCCCCTCTTTCTTTTCTTTTATTACCCAGCCGGTAAGAATAGAGAGATTAATCTGTGCAGCATCCAAGGGTGACGCCATTTTCAGCCGAGGAGAAAAACTTGCGATTTTTCTTCGCAATTGTTTTCACACGTACTGAGTATTCAGTACATATCCACGTCTGGTAGGGAAAAAATTACACCTATAATTATGGTTTTGTTACCGCATGCTGATTATTTATTCTTATTAAAGGATTTCTTTGAAATCCAGACATCAATTCCTTAACTGTTCTAAGCAACATTTCATTGAAATATTACTCACACCACCACTAACATCATCGTTGCTCAATATACACAAACACCATCTTACGGTATAATATGTACATTGGCTAATATTTTTATGTTTTAAGCCCTATAACAAAATTTATTATAGAAAAAATAGCATTAGGCCCTAATATTACTAATTATTTGTAGTGGTTTTTAATTGGAAGGAAAAGTTTCATTTGGGTCCACCAAAACCATGGTCTTTGCTCTCAATTATAGAGGGAGTCTTTAATTTGGAGGGAACAGATAATGTTAGAAAATAGGAATTCAAACTCGACCACAGAGAGTGGTGTTTGTAATTAGATGCAGTCTTTAATTGGAGAGGTTGTTAAATGGAGGGAGACCTGTAAAATACTGAAGTTAAAACTATTTACTGATGAGCTGTCTGCTGATATTCAGATTAAACAAATTCTTTGAGTATCTGATAGAGATTGTGGTTATTTTTTTCTTGCCTATGTATAGAAACGACCGGACTCTTAAGCCTGGTTAATTTCTGTCTATTAGACGGAGTTCCAGTGGCTGATCGGGTACCAGAATAAGGCGTGATGTAGGTTGAACTTCCTTGTTGATTTCAAGGCGAAAATTTCTAATTATCTGCAAGAGAAAGAAAAAGAAGAAAAAAAGAGAGATGGCATAAAAATCAATTATTATCATAGGGAGGTTTCTTAGATTTACGAAAACGGTAATTAATATACGTGATCCCATCGCACAAAAATTATGTTTCGCTTGTGACAAAAATAGAGACTGCAGTTTGTAGAAGATTTACTAATTATAATAAAAATAACCACAGCAATGTCATCAACTAAATATAAAATTGTGAAAAAAGATATAAATCAATAATGGTAATAATGATGATGATGATGATGATGATGATGACGACGATAATAATAATAATAATAATAATAATAATAATAATAATAATAATAGTAATGATAATGATAATGATAATGATAATGATAATGATAATGATAATGATAATGATAATAATAATAATCCTAATAATTTAAGAACAAAAATATCATTATTATTATATTTTTATTAATATTATCATCTTTATAATCAACATCGTCGTAGTTGTTGGTGTTGGTTTTGATGTTGGTACTGTTGATGAAAATGAAGATGTTGATGAGAGAGATGATGATGATGATGATGATGATGATGATGATGATGACGATGATGATGATAATGATGATTTTGATGATAATGATGATGATGTTGATGATGCGGCGCCGATGACGACGACGATGATGATAATTATGATGAAAATATAACATGGTTTTAATATTGTAGGTCAATACTATCAATGATTAAAATATGAAAACAATGGCCATAACAATGTCAAAAATACATTACCAATGAGAGTAATGTTTGCATTTCTTGTTCAGCCAGTCTTCGACCTGTATATAATAAAACACTATCTAAAAGGCTGGTATATAGATAATCAAGCAATACAATAACTATAAATAACCATTACACATAATTCAAGAAACTGTATTAACACTAATAACAATAATAATAGTTATTAATAACAATTATAATTTTCAACTACCGTAATTCTAATATTAATATACACAATATTAAGTAATCATAATTAAACGCTATAAAAGCTTTAATGAGAACTCGATGTATTATATCACTGCCACAATAATGGGCAAAGATCTGATCATGAAAAGAAACGAACACAGAAATAAGAAAAAGGGAGAATGGTGCAAAATATTCAATTTGTAACAAAACACTCACCGATACAGCTACGTACGCCGAAACCAAATGGTAACATCAAGAAATTGTTCAGTTTCTCTCCTTTTACTCGTGATAGCCATCGTTCCGGATTAAAACAGTAAGGGTCTTCAAAGTATTCAGAGCTACGGCTTATCGAATACGTATCCATAACAACAAACACCTGGAAAATTCAAGATCGTCTAATCCAGAAACAAACTTCATAAATCGCATCTCAAATGTACTGTATCTTCGCACGAGCGCCAAATGAATGAATGATTGATTGAACGAACGAACAAAAAATGATACAGGAACGAACGAAAAAATTGGAACGAACTGAACGAACAAACAAACCAATGAATAGATGGATGAATGAATGAATGAATAAATGAATGAATGAATAAATAAATGATAAATGAACATATTAATGAATAGATGGATGGATAATAATAATAATAATAATAATAATAATAGATGGATTTATATAGCGCAAATAAACGATGGATAGATAGGAAAGGTGGATCGATAGGTGAAGATGGATGAATGGATGGATATGGACGGATGGATGGATAGATGGATGGATAAATAAAAGGATGGATGGAAGGATAGATGAAAAGAACGAACAAAAGGATGAATGGATGGATGAATGAATGAAAAGGATGAATGAATAATGAATGAAAATGAATAATGAATGAAAAATGAATAAATAATGAATGAATGGATGGATGAATGAGTGAATGAACGAATGAATGAATAAATGAACTGAACTACCAAACACATGCCTGAATGAATGAATGAACGGATGAATTTAACGAACTGAACGATGAATGAACGTGCGAACGAATAAATGGATGGATGGATAAATGAATGAATAAATGGACGAATGAATGAAAAGAATAATGAATAATTGAAAATAACGAACGAATTTAAGTATGAATGGATGGATGGATAAATAAATAAATAAATGAATGAATGGATGGATGGATGGATAGATAAATGGATAAATAAATGAACGAATGAATGAACGAACTGAACGACCAAACACATGCATGTATGAATGAATGAATGAATGAACGAATAAATAAACGAACTGAACGATAAATGAACGAATGAACGAATAAATGGATGAATGAATGAAAGAAAGGATGAATGGATGGATGAAAAGAATGAATAAAGGAACTAAGTAGGTAATGAACGGATGTATTAAAGGATGAATGAATGACTGAATGACTGAATAAATGAATGAAGGAAGCCCTTGCTACGATAATATTACGACTTTCAGAAGTGTAGACCTATACTGTATAAAACATATTTGTGTACACAAACAATTCACTCAATGAAATTGGTAGTGCTGTAGCATGTTCTATTGATCTACAAAAATAAAGCATGCGTCATTTTAATACATTCCACTTATGATTTTGGAACAATTAGTCCCGGTAATGTATGTTTGGAATTGGATTTAACCTTTGTTTTTTTAATATTTTAACGTACCCCAGGTGGTATTTTATATCCACCGATTTCCATGTCTTCTGTAACTTTTCTTCCTATTCCTGATATTATGGGGTATAATCTGCAAAATATAAGCAAATAGAAAGAGCATTTGATAGTATTCATGGTACGTGACTAAGCTATGATATGTTCTCGTTTAAGAAAATGACTATAACTCTCAATGTACAGTATATTTAGAAGCCAGAAAATTAATGGGGATGACGATAATGACTACAACAACGACGACGACGAAAACGAAGATGATGATTATAATTTAAAAATACATAATAATATTATTGGTAATTATAATAAAATAAAATTAACATAAAGTAAAGCTAAAAACCTTTGGGTTTCTTGCATCACCGCTCGAAGATATTTCATTTCATTGAAGTGATCTTTTGTTGGTGCAACGCCTTCTGGAATCACGTGCGTCACCTCTTCATATAAACGCTCTTGACATCCAGGATTCCTTGCAAGGCAGTACAAAGCCCATAGAACTGAGTTTGAAGTCTAATAGAAACAAAAAATAATAATGATATATACATAAGGCTGAAACTCGAACTCGGAGCCTACATTGTGAACGTCATAAACACTTGGAGGCTGATTTTTTTTTTTTTATAGTTGACTCACAATTTCAATTTCGGAAATTAGAAATGAGATGAAACATAAACGATAGAGGAAAATTAATTAGATACTTTAATTAGATACTTTCAAAAATCCAATGAAATTTTATTGTAAACCAATATGACTCTCCAATATCCGCTATATAATTTTTGTTCAGCCAAGGACTTTTTAACTAGCTGCACCTGATAAAAATGCTTGGTTCATAAGGTCTCTGGTATAAATCCTTTCTGTCAAACCTTGTTACAGCAAAGAAAAAATAATTGTTGTATTGTATTGTTGAAATATTATTTTTATCATTAAAAATATAGTACCGGTAAGATTTTAAAAGTACGAGAGTGTAATTTCCTGGCACTTTAAGGTTTAAATTGTCATTCCACACCATGGTTAGGGCTGAGGTGGTGTATATTCCCATGCACCTCCTGCAATCAAATCCTGCATTCACCCCAGACCTAAAATGCACCGCCCTAGGATCACTAACCGTATCTACGGCTGCGGCTAACAGTTCCGTCATACTGCCATATATTTCCTCTTCGCTCAACTTGTTTTGGGCGACAAGGTACGCCAAGAAACTTCCATCGTCGACTTTATCATTGTTTTCGACTTTTTCTGCCAGCTCATTGAGTTTACGATCTATAAGTTCACGGGCTTTAAAAAGAATAGGCCTCATAATTTTAACATGATTCATTAAAAAAAAAAAGGCATTCTTATCTAGATCATATATACCGGTAGTCGTCAAAATACTTTAATGTTATTCAAATTAAAAAAAAATTGAGGTAAGCCTACATACGTGTGGGATAAGTAGACGGACCTAGAATACTTAATAAAATGTGAGGTCCGAGAAAAAAGAAAATGAATAGAAATGCCAACGGATGCGATTACGTTGTTCTTGTCGAAATGACAACGAAAAAGTACGTCCAAAAACCTAGCTTAAGACGATGATATGCCTGTGTTATCATTGCTCATTCCCATCTGTGTCGAACAAAGTAACGTTGTACTAGTATTCAAGGCTAACATTATTAGTTTCTGCTCAGTTAATTTTTTTTCAATTTACTATAAATTTCTACCTAATACAATGAGCAAGCAAATTGGTCTACATGTCTTCCTGTAATTAAAGATCCCACCAATTAAAGACCACCTGTATTTGTTAGTAATGACTTATTACGGACTGTTTCCTTTATTTTTTTGTAATCATTGTGATAGCAAATAATAAATAATATATAGATTGGCCTGTGTAGTAACATCCAGGGGTCGCACCATTTGGTGATCGGCGTAGGACCTCGTCGGGGGAGAATTTTTTTTTCATCCACCGTTCAGAGAAAAAATTACAATTTGTAATTAATTTTACATTTTTTTAGACATTAAAATCGAATAAGCCTTTTAAATTCCTAAATTGCTGCTTCCAGAAGCTTCGCAGCCCTGGGGCGCCTGGCAACGTTCACACTTACGCTACCATATGGAAACCGCCTTATCCCCCTCACCTCCTTCCAGAACAATATGGCTCCTCCCTCTGGCAAATCTTGGCGCCACCAGTGGTCGTTTGAGAAGCACATACGACATACATGATTAACACGGGTGTAGGCTACTTACACACTCTAAAGAGCAAGTCCCATGAATCTGTGTGCGTTTTGTACGCTTTGGTTCGAAGCATCTTTTGAAGTTTGTAAGGTATGAACATTAGGTCAACCGTCTTCTCTAAGACATTCTGGAAAGCGTACACAAATTCGTCGATTTCTGGATGAATCTTTGGAGAATTCTTGTCCAAGATTCCGAGACGTTTGTCAAAGAAAACCGTGCAGGCAGCTGAAATGAACATTGCAAAAAAATGTAGGTTTAATTACGTAACGGCAAAACTTTTAATAGGCCTTAAACACTTCATTATTATAGGCTGGGTGTTGCATTAGTTAACGGTAATTTATTTCTGCTAATACTCAAATTTTATCGAAAGTTTAAATATACGTTTATTTAAAGGTACATTTTCTCAGCTGTGTATCTAAGAGTTTTGAAATGGAGAGGGAGTGGGGCTGATGAGGCGTGATGGTGTAGAGGGTGGAGGTATTGGGGCTCGACGGGCAGCAAGCTCTCGAAAAATAAGGTGACATGAGGTGACTTTTATCTAATGAATGTAATTTTAGTTTTGAACATTTTTAATTTGTAGGGAGGGGGAGGGCGACAGGAGGAAAATATTTTTTTTTTGGGGGGGGAGAGGGAGGGGCGAGTATGTGCCCCTAGATATGCCACAGCAATCTCTGCAAAGAAATCGGAATATACTTTAAAAAATCTACTTAAATTTTGTATATATCATTTAAAAATCATTAAAGATGTATTGTCCCATGCAAAATACCACTGACAAATAATAAAAATCATTGTTGAAATTAACTTGGTAACACTCACTTAATATACAAATTATCAACTTATATGAATTACAGTGTATTTAAGCAATGTTTACACATAATTTTACAGCAAAAAAATATAGAAGCATTTCTATTCACTGGAAGTGTTTTATTATTTTATTTTATTTTATTTTTTTTTGCTCTGTTGGCTCGTACATCTTTAACATTATACGTACATTCGAAAGCCCATCTAAAGAGCTCCTCTTCCAAATTCGGCATGATGTTCTTGTTCGGACCTTCCTTTGGCCGAAGAGTTTTCAGCCTCTCCAATACGTCTGCTGCTACACCATTCATCGCATCTAAAAATGTTCCGATTTCTTGAGGGCGCAGCAAGCGTCTACTCATGGCGGATCGACTTTTGTGCCACTTTTCACCTTCCCTAAAAAAAAAAAAGAAATATAAAAGAAATATATATATTTGTATATATAATATATATATGTATATACGTATAGACATATATATGTATATATATATATATATATATATATATATATATATATAATTAAATCAGGAAATGCTGTACGTTATAGGTCTGCGTTCGCTTAGCCAGAATTTACCTTTTTTTTCAATTCACATACACTACTGTGGAAAATATGTAGTGAAAAATACCATTCGTTCACACTATCCAGGGTGGATCTGGAATTTTTAAAACAGGGTGAAATGCATGGCATTAGTATGTATTGAAGGTTTAAAATGTATTGGCACGGAAGGGGACAGGTGTCCTTGCCCCCGCCAAATGGATCCGTCTCTGCTATTTGTTAATAGTCTAAAAATCGTGTTTACAAAAAGAAATACAGTATGTAGTTTTTTAAAAGTTGGCTTAATTATTGAGTTGGTATCCATTTTTTGGGGGGAAAGCATAGCTCTCAGTGGGCTAAACTGGTGGTAGCCACTGTGTGTGCGCTGAACCGTGGAGATCTCTAGACTTGCTCCCGACTGCGATTTTTTTTACACGGTAACTTAGGGAATTTCGAATAATAGCAACAGTCTGGTCAAATAGGCTATTAAGATGATAAGACGTCACACGTCATTTCACAACACATGTCATTTCACAATAAATATATGAGAGTGAGTGACACCACTGTCGCGAATATAGTATTGGCTACGCTCACTCTTGTACATTTATTGTTGTGAACTGGCATGAGACGTCTAGCCTGTTGATCAGACTGTTGTTTTGTATATTTTTTAAAATTCCCTAGGCTAGCGTGTCAAATGGCGCACCTTGTGCAATATGGGCCATCTTCACGTTTAAGGAGCGTAGTAGACCTTCCAGAAAAAGGTGGTATACCGGTACAGTACACAATAGGTTTTAGGTTTCCTGTTAAGAATGAAACTAGTACTGTTATTGATTGTTTAATGGTCCACGGATTGTTATAACTTACTCTAGTAATATCCCCAATGGTTTTTTATTATGTTTCCTATATTCTATCCAAGGCTGTATAGGAAATCTCATTGGGTACTTATCTTCCGTCCTACAAAATCTTTCAATGAGTTGCGGGTCACTTAGACTCACAATATCAACTCCAAATCCAATGCTTCTGAGTATCTTGCCATATTTCTTAGCGTTTTGAAGAATCATTTCGTGGTTTTTCCTCATATCCTGAAACATAACTAGTGCTACCATTACTATGATCCTGTTTAGAGGCTTAGGCAACCAATGTATGATTCCGGGCCCGGGCAAAGTGTCAATAGACTTGAGCCTCTCCGGGTTTTTGGTATACGTCTGAGTAGACTGAGCACCAGTCACACCAGACGCGCATCTTGAGCTCGATGTTATCGGTACAAATTTCCAAAATGACGATGGAAAACTAGTAAGTCTGCATAAAGATGCCATCTTTCAGACGATTCAATATTGTTATTAGTCTGTTATAAAATTCTGAACTACGTGCGATGACCTCTTAATCGTTTCAATGTTATCTCTCTTCTGATTGGCAGTATCCGATAAAACCGGTTCATTGTTTTGTTTGAACATGGACCTATAGGTCCATGGTTTGAACATGGACCTCTAGGTCCATGGTTTGAACAGTGATAACCTTTGTTGGGGATATGCAGTGATCCATTTTCGCCTATTGACATAAACCCCTGGTTCTAATTTATCAGCCGAGTTGAAAACAATGTTTTATACCGCGGGTGAAACTATTTCCGCTAAGATAGGTTTATTTGAATTAGGATCTACTTTGCAGACCTTCTAGGCCTACACCATGCAGTCATGTCCAAAATTGGGTCGCGGGGAAATTTTTCTGTAACTTCAGTTTAACAGACGTCAGTCAGAATACGGACGTTCTCCGCATGATGTAGGACCAGATAAATGTATATTTTTATGAGCATTGGTGGCATATAGACTTTAATTATTTGGAGAAAGACAACCGAAATCTAATTTATAAGTAGGGTTCTTTGGTTCACTGCTGTTTATTATCATGTAAAATTAATTAGACTTGCGAACATTTTTGACGATAAAATCCAATAGACGTGTTGCAAAATATAATTTAGTTGTGTTTCAATGATTTAACAATAAATCTAGCATCAGGACTCTGCAATTCTTAAAATTTTGAAATGTCTATGATAAAGTTTTTACTTCCCCTGGGCTGCTGTTTAGCAGATCTAATAACAATACCAATCTTGGGAGTTTTTTTTTTTTGTTTTTTTTGTTTTTGTTTACAGGGTTATATTTTAGACCCGAAAATAACACCTAAATCATAACTAGCTTTTGTCTTGTTTGAAGCACACAGTGAAGCATAGAACCACTGAAAGTCAGTTATCGATTTTTGGCCCTATTTATTCTTTTTATGGCCTATCATATTGCTCATTTTCAAATTACACCGTGTACATTTCCAAGGGGTTGCATTTTTGTCTTACTTTATTGAAAATGTATATGTAAAACTTTTATTATGTTTTGAATACTTTTCCATTATGTATTCTGGACAACAGTGCACTGGACAGAGAAACCCGTATTCTGGACAGAGTTCGCCAACCCGACTCAATGGGCCCGAGTATTATTATAGACCAACCGTCCCTAGCTAATCGCTTAAATATACTTCATAGAACCAATTTTAAAATTTGCATGTTATAAGCAACGTTTTTTTTTTTTTTTTTTTTTTTAATGATTCATGATGATTATTTATGATGATGATTGATGATGATGAGGATTATGATGATTGATGATGATTGGTAATAATGGTGATGATGGTGATGATGGTTGATGAAGAAGATGATAATGATGATGATAATGATGATTTAAAATGATGATTGATGATGATTAATGATGATTGAAAACGATTGATGATTGATGATGATTGAAAACGATTGATGATGATGATTGATGATAGGGATTGACGATGATGCTTGATGGTGATGACTAATCACGATTGATAATGAAATGCTGATGATTGATGGTGACCACGACGATGATGATGATCTTAATTTCTACTTTATTTTATCGAATCAGATTTTTCTCATATATTTGTTGACTGATGAAATCTTTTATGTGATATTGTCAATGTGTGAAAGTTTGAGGTAAATCAGTCCAGTAGTTTTGAGCTGCGCTCCCGGAAGAATACATACACCACAAACAGACAGCAGAGCTCATTGCAATTTCCTCTTTCAACACTTCGGGGGCGAGGGTAATTAAGTACATCTGTTCAACCATTTATTGCAAAATGTATTTATTCACTTATTTATTCATTAACTTATAGGACAACATTCATTAAGAGCTAAGCTACACGATGTACCATCATGTCTTTTATTCAAACACTGTATTTATCTTTCTTTGATGATTTATATAATTTAACAGTCTAAACGGCTTTCTTTATTTATATTATATGCTACTATGTATTTTCAGCCGTCCACCCATTGTGTAATGGAATGTAACTGACGGTTATTTGAATCACTTCACCATGAAGCCTCTGCGGTTTAATGGTTATGACGCTCGCCTTGACA